CAAATACACAAATCAATTATATACACCACAGATTATACATCCCAAATCAAACCCCAAATCAAAAAAACATCCCAAATACACAAATCATGTACATCTCAGATCCATGCAATGAGATTCTAAAAAAGAAATTATACATATCAATCCATACAATGAATCACAAATTCTTCATCTCAATATATACATGAATAACAAATTCTTCAAAAAAAAAGAAGCAAAGCCGCCGGCCGGCTGAGCTGGCTGCCGCCTCCCCTCCTCCCCGGCCGCCGCCGCGCCGCCCTCCGCCGGCCGGCCCGCCCACCCCCTCCTGCTACGCACACCGGAGTCGGGAAGGGATAAGAAGGAAAAGAGATAAGGAGGAAGGGAAGAAGGGATGAGATAAGGATTAGAGATGGAGGGAGAGAGGAGTTTGTGTGGATAAGAAAAGAGGATAAGTAATACGGATTATATAGTGCGTTTTGATCTTTAATCCTGGTTCGTAATACCAACCGGGACTAAAGATTCGTAACACCAACCAGGACTAAAGATCACGTGATCTTTAGTCCCAGTTGGTGTTACGAATCGGGATTAAAGATCCGATCTTTACTCCCAGTTGGTAACTCCAACCGGGACTAAAGATCCTAGAGGGTCTGACAACACCTGACAGCATGTGAACCGAGACTAAAGACCAACCGGGACTAAAGATCACGTAGTCCCGTTCTGCTTATAAACCGGGACTAAAAACCATCTTTAGTCCCGGTTTTTACTGCAACCGGGACTATTGTGGTTTTTGGTCGACCGGACAAAGATGGTTTCTCCACTAGTGGGTGTAACTTTAGTTTATTTTTACTATAATTTTGTTAATGGGTGTGGATTTGCTTTGTTTGATACAAGTTTGAATATTAACTTGTTATATTTTATTTTTTAAAAAAATATTAACCATATAAATTTATATTACGTCTAGGTTAAAATAATAAGTTTGACCCTTTACTTAAAAAGTGGTTATGCTTAAATAGGAAATGAGGAGAGTTATCAAGGTGGTTAGATATTTACCTATTTATTAAAGGTACTATTTTTCTAATAATAAAATTTATTCTACCCTTTACTTCAAAGAATTATAGCCAATTATTACAAACTTACAGTTTAGAACGACTGTGAATTAACAGAGAAACAAGAGAACTAACTGGAACACACTAATTAGGGATGCATGGGGTGAAGAACCTTTCCGTGGAACGTGGCGTAGTTGGCTCGCGTTAGGCCGATGGATCACATGTGGATCGCGTTAGGGATTCATATAAATATAAATGTTAATGAATATAGATATCTAATGCTAGAAAATTTTACATTGTAAAACGGAAAGTATATACTCTCTCCGTCTAAAAAAAGACAAACCCTGGTTTTCGTGTCCAACGTTTAACCGTCCGTCTTATTTGAAAAAATTGTGATAAAAATTAAAAAGATAAGTCACGCATAAAGTATTAATTATGTTTTACCATCTAACAATAATGAAAATACTAATTATAAAAAAATTTCATATAGGATGGACAGTCAAATGTTGGCACGGAAACCCAGGGTTTGTTTTTTTTTTGACGGAGGGAGTAGACATGATCAGAAAGGGCTCGATCAGTCGACACACATCCACCATGTTTATAATTAATTAATTAGTATAATTGTTACCTGTAGCTTAGCCTAGCTAGTACCGTACGGAGTGAGGATATAATTAAGCGGGTCAGCCCACCAAGACTGGCTCGTTTAAATAGCCTACACGCGCGCAGGTTCGCTGCCGGTATACGTAATTAACATGGTTTTTCACTTACGTGCGATTTTACTGTCAGAATTTAAGAGTATAAATCCGTCAAAAGTTTATCTTCTTTTACGGTGAAAACATAATGAATCCAAAGATAAGATTATATACATGGATATAATATTATTGGAACTACGTGTAAAACTTTTACTAATTTTTTTTGGTAACATTTATTAGGTAGTGTCTAGGGAGTGTAAATATAATCTTATATTTTTTTACCTCAAAAAATTAATAAATTTAAAAATGAGATTTTACACATATGTATAATAGTATTTAAAATACATGTATAATTTTTAACTAAATTTTGGTAATGTTTGTTAATTGTTGTGATGAAGTGTGCACCAGAAACTAACTTACATGCACATTATATATTTCATAATAATATAGATCCTTTTTTTAAGAGAAATATAGATCCCGTATAACCGTGAGAGACAAATAAAATTGTAACCAACTTCTAGACTAGTCAGACATAGGCGAACTTTATATTGGTTGAGCCTAGGATTGAAAGCCCGTAAACCACAACAAATTTTGATCATGGTGAATCCGTCACATAACAAAATATAGGTCACCCTCGACTTTCACTTTGGGCGAGTTTTGTCCTTGTGATCTTGTGGCCACATCCTAGCTACTAACATCTATGCTATTATTAATATCTGTAAAAAAAAGGTTAATCATTGGATAACACTACTATTCATCTTGACTCAACGACACCGCTAGCTCTACAACTTATTATTAAGATGTTTTGTCAATTTTACTCGTACATGGAGTCCTTATATGCCATGGAGTCCTTTCTCATGGTTCATGAATATCATGATGCCTCTTCCCCTCTCGATCTCTATAAAACCCGTATGGGCATGAGAGAAAGGTGTGTTATCTAAGCAGCCGATCAATGATAAAAAAAATAATTATTGTTCAGGAAAAAATATTATTTTAACTTGTCCGGGTGTATAATTAATTAGAAATAAGTTTTAATTTTGACTTAAAAAACTTGAGGCAGATACTCCCTTTCTTTAAAGAGAAAAAAGGAATAGAGGTTGGTAGTACGCGTAAGGGGAAAGGAAAACTCAACTCTGACGCATCCGTCCTAGTTAATTAAACCAGAGAAATTCCACATCAATTGGGATATTTTGTGTGAACTGGATGAATATAATTAACAAGTTGGTCGGCAACAAAGAGCTGGTGGTAATGTCATGGTCTCATGGAGTAGCTAGCAGAAAGTGCATGCCAGAAAGCTGAGAAGAATATTACCCTAGTAGCTGATCAAAGATGAAAAATTCAGATGATGTGTTTCACTGATATCATTTGACATCAATTCGATGTGTGCGCTGCTGCTTTTTCTCCACGACTTTGCGTTATTCTCAAGTAGATCCCATACACTCACATAGCAAAAGTGCGATGATGCGTTTCGTTATAAACTAGTATATATAACGAAACTAAAAGGGTATAGGATAATGGAAGCGTGCACAAAGCAGTATAGGAGCTTTAGAGTATTTAACCTCGACAACCACTAAGACGACAACCACTAAGACCCTGTTTAGCTCCCATAACAAAAATTTTCACACTGTGACATCGAATGTTTGGACACATACATATAGTATTAAATGTAGGAAAAAAACAATTACATGTAAATTGCGAGACAAATCTTTTTTAAGCTTAATTGCGCCATGATTTAACAATGTGGTGCTACACTAAATATTTACTAATAACAGATTAATTAGGATTAATAAATTCGTCTCGCAGTTTCCTGACGGAATCTATAGCTTGTTTTGTTATTAGACGATGTTTAATACTTTAAATATGTATCCGTATATCCGATGTAATAACCAAGCCCAAAATTTTTTTCCAGCTAAACAAGGCCCAAGAAGCAGCAAGCCAAGGACCGGTAGACACTTCGCCATTGTTATTTTTCTCCTACTCCCTCCATCCAATAATATATAAATAAGAGATTGTGCATTTTTTAAAAAAATTAAGAAACTGATGAAAGGACAATGCATGATAAAAAAAAGGTGCTTATTAAGAGAATAAAATAGTACAAAATGTATTATAGATGATAAATAAATTAGTATAAAAGGTTGTATGTGAGAAATAAAGCGATGTCTTGAGATTGTAAAACCCTTATAATTTGGAATAAATTTGAAAGACATAATACCTCATATTATAGGATGGAGGGGGGTATTATTTATTGACACATTATATTTTTTTTCTCTTCCTTGTCAAAATGTTGCTCATTGCACTAATTAAAAACTATTTTCATAAACACTGATTATAATAAAATCCGTTTATGATAATGGCGGTAGTGCATTTATAGTTTAAAGTCACTTATGAAAACCGAATTTCAGAGACAGATTTCTTAAACTACATTTTTATTATAACTATGTAACGCTGATTTAAGAGGAAGGGTTCTCATATCAAAATTTATTAAGAGGGTGGTCAGACTCTAAGCTACTCCCTCCGTCTCTAAAAAAATCAATCTAGTACCAGATGTGACATATCCTAGTATTACAAATTTGAAAATACATCCATCAAGATTAGTACTAGAACATGTCACATCAAATCCTAGATTCGTTTTTTAGGGACGGAGGTAGTAAGTCAGTTAGCTCAGAGCGGGTACAATAGCAGACTATAAGCCAGCTATAAACACATTTCGAGAAGATAAAATAGGAGAGAGAAGAGCAGCGGGCTACAGATTCGTAGCCAGCTGCAGTATAGGCTCCAAGATACATGTATGTATGATAGGTGGGATCAACTATAAATTGTGTAGTATATATTTATAGGTAACTATTGTATGAATCGGCTATTAAATTGACTATAAATGATTTGGAGCCGGTAGTTGGCTATAATATTAAACTTGCTCTCACACCTTATGGTGCTAGCTGAAGACCCCAGGTTCGAGCAATCTATAGGTAGATTTTTGCAACAATTTCATCAAATCAGAGACAAACTCACACGTTTCAAGGCCACTACTTCAAATTTAAACAGACAAGCCATTCGTTTCAATAATTCTCTATGGCCCCAGCCCCCAGGCCTCTGCTGCCATTGCCATTGCTATTGGGAGCAGAGCCAATCCCACATGGCGGGGACCAATCATCAAGCGAGAGACCATCTCATCTCCTCTCTTGTGTGGGAGCCTCCTGCGACAAATGCTCAGCTGCAGCTCTGGAGAAACAAGCTGAATCGGCAGCAAGAAACAATTACTGCTAGCATTTTGGATTTTGGCAGATACACAGATAACATTAGATGGATATACCTGGCTCACTCACTCGTGACTTGAGTTCCAACAACCACAACACGGGTATATATCAATACCATTCACCCCCGTGATGATGATGTATTGATATATGCGTCGTACATTTAAACGCATATACACACAGTACTTGTACATCAATTTCCAGTCCAGCAGAAACTCCACCAGGGGTTGGTACAGGCAAAAGCAAAATATTGATTGCAAGGATAATGTAAGATGGTAGTAGTAGTAGTAGCTAGGATTGGTACAAGCAAAGCGAATTCATTGCAAGGATAAATGGATAATGTGGTGAGGTACAAGAGGAGACGAAGCTTTGGCAGGCATGGGGGGATCCTGGCTGGCTAGCATGGTGTTCTGCTGCTAAGTGAATTGTGTCAGGCTGGCATCATTGCGATTGAACGCGTGAGATCCTGATCGACAGCAGCAAGCATCTTCAACTTTGCACAGTTCGAAGTTGCTGAAAGCAAGAGCTCACTCCAACGAGCAGCTCCACCATGCAAGCCAGAAAAGAGGCTATTGTTGTGGCCTGGTGTTTTCAATCTCCAGGATAGTGCTCGCTGATCAGCTTCAGTCTCACACCAGAAGATCCTTCTGTACCAGACTTCAACATAGTTAAGACGTGTAGTCTTCGACAAAAATGACTGCACTAAGCCTCAAGTTTAATATATCTCTAGCTTTCCTGTCTTCAGGAATAGATTATAGGTTGATTTGATCAGTTGCTCATCTATGAGGAACTATAAGATGATTAAGCGAACAATCCGCCCCAAATGCTGGAAACATTTTGCAGCTTCTTTCAAGCACAAGTTCCTGTCCTTCCGAGACCAATGCTGGACAGCATGACAGATAGACTAATCAGGTTACATAAGCATATAACTTCTGTGGCAAATTCCAGTTTCGAGCTTACAAGAAAATAAAAGAAAGTGATCTTGAGGCGGTTACCTTGCTAAGTTCGTTAAGCTTCTCCCTGGTATCTTTTAGCAAAAGTTCTACATCAGAATCCCATTTGTAAAACTCTAGCTCCCTTCCTTCCAAAATTTTCTTGGATATCTGTTACGTTTCAAACTAATACTTCTTCAGAGAGCAATTAAATAAATTTTGTTTTCAAAGAACTTACAGAGTTGTAATAATACAAACTACAAAGTAAACTTGCCTTTATACTGAACAAATTATCTAGCATCATTATTATGATGGTGCAAGTGTGAAGAGAATTTAGGGGAAATATGAAAGCTTAAACAGAACTTGTATTTCGCTCAAAAAGGTTAAGAGGGCATGCAGGTGAGCTCAAAATCACAAAAGAGATGGGGAGAACAAAGCAACTATCTCTCTATTCTTGTTTAAGAAGATTCTTTGCTATTATAAGGCTGTTTGGTTGGAGCCAATGGATGTCAATGTCTAGCCAAAATGTTGATTCGCAAATCCATCACTAAACTTTGGCAATGCCATATTTTGGTGGATTTGGTAGCAATTTTGGCCACAAGCTGCTACATCAAAGGAAAATAGAAACCAAATGTTTAAATAGCCCTGTATCACCAGCTAACAGAGGAACTTTATATATGAATATCTGATACCCAGAATAGAAATGTATCAGTCTAGATATTCAGCTTTACACTCTTTTGTCAACTCCATACAAAAAGCTCCGTGCTGCCAATCCATTTAATGAGAAACATGTTGAGACATGAAACAATGAAATCACAATGTATCATCTCATCTGATAAGAAAGTAGCGTTGAACTCAGTATTTCATTTAAATCTGCTGGTTTATATTTTGTTTATAGTTTAATAGACATATAATGGATATTTAATCAGGTTAGGTATGAAACATGAGTATATATATCAACAGTTCATTACACAACTTAATGGGGACTTAAATCCAATATGGGAATAGCATTACCTTGTTACCTATAGCCACCCCTCCAGTTGTATGTGCAAAATAAATATTGTAATAGTGGGAAAGGAAGGCTGGGGCATTGCTCTCAGCAAGTTCAGTCAGATAAGTTGCATATGTTGATCCAGCAGTACTTGGCTCTGGTACTGCAATTCCTTGCCCTCCAAACCACTCCAAATCTTTTGTAATTCTAGCTGAGCGTTCCAGACCACTTTTCCTGAAGTAAACATCTGAATGAAAATTGCATAAATGATATGTAAGTAACTGCAGTTTCTGTTGCAGTGATTGAACAAAGTTCCAAACAGAGGTACTGAATGCCCCTAAAGAGCCATACGTAAAAGTATGTAGCATATACTACCGAGTGCTGAACAATTCAATTTGGCAAGCATTCTAGGCAACATGGTTGGTGTCTCACACTAATTAAGTTGTCAGAAAACAATATCACTGACAAAAATCGATGCGGAGATCTTCGCGGAGATGCTCAAGTACACTATGATGCATGATGCCAGCAATGTGCTTCATTACCAATATGGTCTGCCATCTATACTCCAGAACATCCCAAAAGATCATTTCTTTCACGGTGCACCACTAAAGGAGATTCAGCCGTAGGATGATTGCTGCACACGCAGAACATGTATTGTGCTAAAGTGCATCTTCCACCATTTGGCAGTAAATGCCTTCCAAAATTGTAATCCATACAATTTTCATTTCACGCCACGACTTCACACCATGCATCAAGTTCCATCAAAATAATCACAACCTTAAATTTCAACCTTGCATATTGCCAAAATAATTGCAACCTTCGCCGCATACCCAAGTGAGCACTAAAAATGGAATTCCTACCACCTAGCTTGTATCCCCCAAACATGTTCTTACCGACACATTTTACCATCCTACCAACAAGTCAATATGTCATATTCTAAATCTATAATTCCTGAAAAATTAGGAGATTCCAATTGCATTGGAAACTGAAGACTAAGCTGATTAAGGAACAACATTGAATTAGGATATTCTAATTGCATTGGGAAGGCGGGGATTTGGAGAGTAGGAATCGCAACTCACAGGCGACGTCGGTGGACTCGGCTACGATCCGCTCGACGGTGTCGAAGACGAGCTTGCTGTCCACCAGGTACTTGACGAACCCCTCCATGCTCGGCATCCACTCCCCCTCCAACCCCGCTCCCTCCTCCTCCTCCTCAACCACGTCGTCGTCGTCCTCCTCCTCCTCCTCCTCCTCTGACGCCGACGCATCCTCACTGACGCCATCGCCCACCTCCTCCTCGGCCCCCGTATCGTCCATCTTGAGGGTGGTCCGCTTGGGGTTCCGGAGGCGCATGGCGACGAACCGCATCTCCTCGGCGACGCCCACCGCCTCGCCGGGGTACTGCCTCGGGTACCGCCGCGGCCGCGGCTTCGCTGGCGGCGCCTCATCCACCGCCACCGCCTCCGCCTCCGCCTCCGCCGCGGGGGCAGGAGGGGAGGGAGCGCAGCGGGCCACCGTTAGGGCTGCTAGGTCCCTCGTTAGTATTAGTCCAGTAAAGGAGCGCAAGGGCCGCGCTCTCCGCGGCGGCGGAGGAGGCGGCCGCGGCGGCACGACCGCCGAGGCGGCGACGGCGGCGGCGAGCGGCATCGGGGGGTTTAACGGGTTATCCACTCGGGCATCCTGCACGGCACTGTGTTGTGTTAGCTGCGAAAGCGGATTATCGGTTTTCCGCCTTCGCGTGACGTTTACGTATGTCGACTGTTGCACTACTTCTGGTACGCGAAAGCGTAACGGGTTCTACGCGTTCCAGGGGGAATGCAGATTGGGGAATCCAAGAGATATGATGGGCCAATATGTTTTGGGCTTGGCCATTTTTAGTTTTCCTTTCTCAAGAGGAATAAGTTCATTTCGTCTCCCACAACTATAGTGCTAACCGCAATATCTTGCGACTAGTAATAATATTTTGCCTCCTCCAACTAGTAATACCTGTTCAATTTATCTTGGAATTCCAAGTAGTTTTGATAGCGGTTTTTATCCTACACGGTATTACATCAACCCAAAAAAGTGTAAAAAAATGCAGCGTGTCCCATATCACAATCGACACACTGGCTTTCTTCTTCCACCTTTACCGCGCCTAAGGCTGTGTTTGCAACCCCTTGTTTCCAACCCTTCTCCCTCGTTTTCCGCACGCACGCTTTTCAAACTGCTAAACAGTGTGTTTTTTGCAAAAAAAATTTTATATGAAAGTTGCTTAAAAAACAAATTGATCTATTTTTTTAAAAAAATTAGCTAATACTTAATTAATCACGCGCTAATGGACCGTTCCGTTTTCCGTGCGTAGGTGATAGGTTCCCAACACCCACCACCGAACACACCCTTATTTGTCTCCATAGCCAGTATTACATATGCTGATACGTGTGGAGGCGAGCTCAAGCTTGCTTGGAAAAGCTCCCTCCGCCGGCTTGCCGACCACCGCCCCATCCTCCTAATTGAAGGAGGTTGTATGTTTGCTTTAAGTTTGGGGGATGAAATGTAGACTTGCCCCTATAGTTGAGGGAGGCAAATGGACTTTTCCCTCTCAAAAAAGATATAATGGTTTTAATACGCTCTGTCCCAAAGTCCCGATTTGAAGCCCATGTATATATTAAAGATCAAACAACGATTGCCTGTTTGGCACATAGCATTCTAGAGCTGGAGCTCAACTAAACAATTTCAACTCAACCTAAAAGGGAGATGAAATGGGTTGGAGTGATGTGAAAAAATAAACTAGAGTGGTGCACAAGAGTTCGGACCGCTCCGTAGCTCTACTGACTCCACTCGTGGAGTTATTTAGGAGTTGAAATCCTGCCAAACAAATCCCATATAGTCTAGTAAAACATATTGAAAGGAAACATTTTTTAAGCTATCTCAGGCTTTACAGGATTGAATGATTTTCACGAGAATTTGGAAGCTTCGGATCCTTTGGAAACTTTTTCTAACTAGGCTTTTTGGAACATATAGGAATATAGGTTCATAACTTTTCTTTTAGAATGCTTTCCTATGTAGTACCAATTCCGGAGGAAATTTGTATATCAGCCTCAAATCTAGTTTTTTGTTTTTCCTTGTGTATCTTTTTCTCGCTTCTTTAAGCAATTACAAGTTCCAATGTGTAATAAGTCATTTGACTTTTTTTTCCTAGTCAAGCTTCTTTAAATTTAATCAAGTTTATAGAAAAATATAGTAGCATTTTCAATAAAAAACATATTATCAAAATATATTCAATTTTAGATTTAGTGAACTAATTTGATAATTTAGATGTTACCATTTTTTCTACAAACTTGATTAAATTTAATGAAATTTAACTAGCAGAAAAGTCAAACGACTTATAATATTAAACATAGGAATAATAACAGTTGTGTCAATGGGACATCATCACATGTATAATTTTGGATGCTTGTACACATTATTTGATTGAGAGACACAAACGGCAGTTTGCTATAGTCTGCAATGCTGCCAAAGTTATACAAGATCCTAGATGATGGGCAAATCAACACTATAATCAGATAGATTCCAATGAATGTGCAAACAGTGATTATATTACTTTATTAGTCTATTTAATTATATATTGTTTTTTGGTTTGTATTCCTCTTTGCCCTCTCAAAGTGGTCTATATATACTTACATAGCATGCAAAATAGAAATATTTGCCTGTGCACAGCACTTTAACGTGCGTATTTTATAGCACAAAATGATTTGTGATTGTCGCCTTTTTACAATGTCATGTACTCCCTTCGTCCCATAATATAAGGGATTTTGACATTTTGCTTGCACTGTTTGACCACTCGTCTTATTTAAAAAATTTGTGCAAATATAAAAAATAAAAAGTTGTACTTAAAATACTTTAGATAATAAAGTAAGACAAAATAATAAATAATAAATCTTTTTTTTGAATAAGACGAATTGTAAAGCAGTGCAAGCAAAATATCAAAATCCCTTATATTAAGGGACAGAGGGAGTAATAGCTTAGATGGTGACAATTTGACAAATTTTGTTGCAATCATTGTGTTCGGAAGAAATGGATTTGGTTGGTTTGCGTCAAAATAAATAATGAAATTAAATTGAATGTATATATCTCATTTAGTTATATCCAAATATGTCAAAGTAATTGAGTAAGGCTCGATCATCTCAGAGCAATTGTGCATGCCATTATAATTTTCCAATTTCAATACCAATGCTAGCTTTTAATAAAAGAAAAACACTAGGGGCATTCCTACGAAGCCCCCACCAATCTCCCTATCTTAATTTGTTAATCTACTTCTATATAGTTGGACCCAACTCAAATACAGTGAGCCATATCATCAAGAAAAAAAGGACCATTGGAACTATCGTTCTTAATCATAGCCGTTGGATCATTTCTACGCTTAATCGCAATCATAAAAATATTGAGTATGCAGTATGTTAACCGTTCAATATTAATTATACCTTAAGCTTTTTATTTCTCTTTTTTAATTCAATGTTATTTTTCAAGTGCTTTAGAATGATTTCTAAAATCCCAAAACCTGTTGCAGGGTATCCACAGGTTAAGGCTGTGTTCGGGAACCTTTACTCCCTAGCACGCAAAACGAAACAGCGTTTAGCGCATGATTAATCAAGTATTAGCTAAAATAAATTTGAAAAATATATTAATATGATTTTTTTAAAATTAATTTTTATATAGAAAACTTTTGCAAAAAAACATACCGTTTAGCAGTTTGAAAAGTGTGCTCACGGAAAACGATGAAGGTAAGTTAGGAAAGTAGAGATAAGAACTCAGCCTAAGTTAACCTGGGCATGAGCAGCACGAGTAACAATTGGCCTAAACTAGCTAAGTTTTATTTTTAGAAGCTTGTCACACAACAGTAGCTTTATATTTAAGTGTGGGACCACCTATATATTTGTCGACAAATTTTCTCCTAAAAATTTGACAGATATAATTATGGTACAATCATAGTGTAATTACACTGTAACTTGCACGTAACTACAGTGTAACTTGTATATAAGTTTTATGTAATTTTGAATCTTTAGATCTATTACAAGATTTGTTTTGGTGAGGAAGAAAAATAAAATCACAGCACATATATATGTGTAAGGATTTGTTCCCACAATCTCTATTTTACCGAAATAACATATCTACAAGTTACACTATAGTTATAGTGTAATTACATGCAAGTTACAGTGTAATTACACTACGATTGTACTGTAATTACATCTGTTAAATTTTTGGGAGAAAATTTATCGACAAATATATAGCAAAATCGTTTAAGTGTGGCCTAGTTTAAACGCCTACTCACGTGCGAGTCCGTGAGAGTTAGAAGGCCCGGAACGAGAATACGGTAAAATCTAAACGGGTAATTAGAGATGAACTCAAAAGTAGAGGCATTTACGCAAATAGAATGACAAAGATCTCAATATCTCACTTGAGTTGTTATATACTCCACAAACATTTGTTGTTTTATTGCTGGCTATGTCGTTAGAGCAATCAAATTTTTAATAGAGAGGGGATAGACGGGAAGAATTTTTTTTTCACAAGATGCGTTTTCTCTCCTTTTCTTTATTGACAAGAGGATTCTTTATTAGGGGGAAAGAGAAGATGGATGAGATTAACATCAACCCGGTCTTTCCCAGTTGCAGTGTCAAATACATGCAAAATAGACAAATTCAATCTCAAACATAGGAAATTGGATGACACCAAGTCACCGACATTATAAGTCCCGATGCAAAATACGAAACCTCCCACCAAATCAAAAACCACTCATGATCTATTGATCCAAGATACGCACAATGCTGTGTGGAACAACACACACAGCTAACATTTCTTTTTTAATTCGGGGACACACACAGCTATATTCCTAGCTAACATTTGTGCCTCTTCTTAATTTTCAACATGTCAGCAGACATCGTCACGTCCCTTTTAACTTGTATTCCCTCCTTTTCTACACGAAAACGATTCCCGAATTGCTAAACGACGCGTCTTAAATTTTACTTCCTCCATTCTACGATGTAAGACTTTCTAGCATTGCCCACATTTATTTAGATGTTAATGAATCTAGACGTATGTATGTGTTTAGATTCATTAACATCTATATATATGTGAGCAATGCTAGAAAATCTTACATTGTGAAACGGTGGGAGTATAAAAGAATGTTGTTTTTTAAAAAATCATATTAATTTATTTTTCAAGTCTTTTTCATCTAATACTTTATACTAATCATATGCTAATCCATCGCTCTGTTTTGCGTGCTAAATACTCCCTCCATCACATAATATAAGGGATTTTAAATGGATGTGACACATACTTGTAAAATGAATCTGGACAGACCGTCACATCCACCCAAAATCTCTTATATTTCCTTTGTCCCATTTTAAGTGCAGCCATGGTTTTTCGTGTCCAACTTTGACCGTCCGTCTTATTTAAAAAAATAAAAAATAAGTTACGAGTAAAGTCCAATTCATGTTTTATTATCTCATTACAACAAAAATACTAATTATAAAATATTTCCAAATAAGACGGATGATCAAAATAAGACGCGGAAATCTATAGGTGCACTTAAAATGGGACGGAGGAAGCATTATGGAACACAGCCTAAATCTTTTTAAAGCCATTTTTTTCCTTTTAAAGAGATATATACTATTGCTATTAATTAATACATAATAATCCTGAGGGGGATAATAAGCTAGTGTTAATCTGACAGCTCGATCCTGCCTCTGCTCTTTCTGGCGCGCACGTTAAGCTTTAGCTTCCCCCTCCCCGCGCTTCCAATAACGGCTTTAACTAATTCTCTCTCTCTTCGTCTTCTCCAGCTAATCGATCCCCCCTCTTAATCCATTTTGTTTTTTTTTTCCAAATCTCCATCTCCATCTCCTCCCTTCACCCCCGATCGCATTCGCTGCCGCCCACTCCGTGCTCGCCTCGCCTCCCCTCAGAGAGATTAAAGCAGCAGCGGCTTTCTTTCCTCTGCGTTTCTTGGATTGCAGCAAAATCGATCCCCCCCCCCCCCCCCCCCCCGTCCCAGTTTTGGTGGTGGATTGCAGTTCTTGTGCCATCGATTTGGGTGGGATTCGGGCGCCGCGTGGGAAGGAGAGGTTTCTTCTGGGGTGCCCAGTTGGGCTAAATTTCTGGGTAGCTCCCGCCATTGTCGAAGCTCTTCAGTTCTTTTGCGTTTCTTGGGCCTTGTATCAGATCCGTGCCCTTGCGATTTCTTGTAATTGGAGGTGAGAGAGAGAGAGAGAGAGAGAGGTCGATCCATGGAGGTGCAGGGAGAGGTGGATGGATCGGGGGTGCCCCTGGCGGTGCTCCTGAAGCGAGAGCTGTGCAACCAGAAGGTGGAGAGGCCGGACATGCTGTTCGGCGAGGCGAGCAAGAGCAAGAAAGGGGAGGACTTCACGTTCCTCTTGCCCAAGTGCAGCCGCCGTCCAGGTCAAGCCCAGGCTGACGGGGAGGATGCAGGAGGCGCCGGCGACGACGACACCATCTCGGTGTTTGCGGTAATGCCTCAATGGCCTGCGTGCTCTTTTTTCTTTTCCCGTTATTACTGTCTCTGAGACCAATAGTCCAGTTTGTTGTTGTTGTTGTTGTTGCTGCGTGTTTGTTGCGATAATGCCATTGATTTGAGACCTATAAACTGAAAATTCGGTTGGAAGTCAGTGTTTATAATGCCTAACTAGGATAGTTAGTTATCGCATTATCTTGTTAAGCTTTCTTTTTTTTTTCCTCCTGCAAAATAAAATGTTTGGTTTTTTTTTCCCATCGTCAATCTCTGTGCCTAACATGGTGCGTTTGTTTGTTGTTTGTCCCTTGCATAGAGTAGCATGATTGATATGTCAGCCTGATTTTGCGGTGTGTTTGCATCAAGTCACATGGGGGACATATGTCAGCTAATATTTTACTTGCCTTAACTGTCTCTGTGTCAATTATTTCGGTGGTCAGAAGACCAGTGGTTTAGGAATATTCAAAGGGAGTTTTAATGTCAATAGATGATAGATCTTTCAGGCCTCCAACAGTTAGCATTATATATTCGGTTCTACTAACTTGTCTATCAACTTAACATGGCATTTTTAAATAAATCATTGCAGTGTAAATGGTAATATTCAGGCCACAATGCAATACTGTGTGATAGTGCTGAACTATGAGTCTCACTATTTTGTTTCGATTTTTAAACTTGTGTGTTATAACAACTGAAGTGGCCACTGATCTTGAATTATTTATCCTGTCTTCTCTTCAGATCTTCGATGGCCACAATGGATCTGCGGCTGCCATATACACCAGGGAGAACCTCTTGAACAATGTGTTGGCTGCTATTCCCCCAAATCTTACAAGTGAGGAGTGGACAACTGCATTACCGAGGGCACTAGTTGCAGGTTTTGTTAAGACAGATAAAGAGTTCCAAACAAAAGGTATTATTCTTTCACTAAGCTGATAACGATTTAGAGGATGTGCATGTAATTTAGAGGCTTTTAGTTTTCTTTGTTCATATTCTCCCCCTTTTGGACAAATATCTTTCTGATTTATGAATACATGATCAGTGTTGTTATACACTTGCACTGCGGTGTAAACTGATTGTTACCATGTTTTCAGCGGCGCGCTCAGGGACCACTGTGACTTTTGTTATAATAGATGGATGGGTTGTCACTGTAGCATCAGTTGGCGATTCCCGCTGTATCCTAGAATCTGCTGAAGGTTCAGTATATTTTTTGTCAGCTGATCATCGCCTAGATACCAATGAGGAGGAGTAAGTCATAAAACCACGCTTTGTTCTATGTCTATAATATCCTCAGGCTTATTGTTAACCTAGTTATACAATTGCAGGGTAGAGCGTGTAACAGCAAGTGGAGGTGATGTTGGGAGAATAAATATTGCTGGAGGGGCTGGGGTATGTTCTTTTTGTATATGACGTTTATCAGTTACTAAGTGAACAATCATCTGCTAGGACATTCAGTTTATTTCTTTTTCTGTTTTCCCATTCAATATCTTCTGCTGTATTTCTGCAAGTAAAAACATGATAATTCAAGGTTAGTTTTGAATTCACTTTGTTTTCCTCTGCACACATTTCAGATTGGTCCACTTAGATGCTGGCCAGGCGGATTGTGTTTATCAAGGTCAATTGGTGATATCGACGTTGGAGAGTTTATAGTTCCTGTCCCACATGTGAAGCAAGTAAAGGTATGTGATTTATATATTCCTGTGCCAGCCACAGTTGTGGAAAAGATTATGCCATGTTACTTATGTAATAGCTGATACCAGTAATTAAGAACTGCAGTATCTCAGGCTAATTTCATAAAACCGTGTACCTATTGATCATAATAGATTTGGAACTTATGCATCAAAACTTATTGCAGTTGTCTAATGCTGGAGGACGGCTTGTCATTGCTAGCGATGGTGTCTGGGATGCACTGCGCTTTCAGGAAGCTCTGAACTATACCAGAGGACTGCCAGCTGAAGCTGCTGCTAGTCGAATTGTTAAAGTATTGAAATATATTTACACTTCAGTTGTATTATTCTGGATTCCTTGTAATGCATGTTTAAGTTAAGCTTACCGGTCATGATCTTCTTATATAGGAATCTGTGAGTTCAAAGGGACTACGAGATGATACTACTTGCATCGTAGTTGACATATTACCTCCAGAAAAGTTGAGCCCTCCATTAAAGAAGCATGGGAAAGGAGGCATCAAAGCTTTGTTCCGTCGGAGGCCATCTGATGAATTGACTGAAGATCAGATGGACAGAGGATGTCTAGAACCTGATGTCGTGGAGGAAATATATGAGGAGGGCTCTGCTATGCTTGCTCAAAGGTTTGATTTCATTTGATACATGAAGCGCATATTTCTTAGACATATCACTTTTACTTGCCATTATGCCTACCTATGAGTTTTACTTCCGATAGTGAAAAGGTTTCCTCTTCCCCTTACTTGAAATAGTTACGCACTTACACTTGCCCAAAAAATAACTTATATAGTCAAGTTCATCAGTCTTCCCCAAATTTGACTATAGATTTGTCCTAATTTTTTGCCTCTTAAGATTTTCCAACGAATGTATATGAATATAATTTCATGAAATGTTGACTAAACTCTTATAACTTGTTCACAGATTAAAAATAAATTATCCGACAGGAAATATGTTCAAACTGCATGATTGTGCTGTCTGCCAATTGGTGATGAAACCTGGTGAGGGCATCTCTGTTCATGGTAGCATTCCGAGGAATTCAAGGGTTGATCCTTGGGGTGGCCCTTTTCTATGTTCATCCTGCCAATTGAAAAAGGAGGCTATGGAAGGGAAGCAACATTTGACAAGTATGAATGCCTTCATCTAAAGATTTTTTTTCTCTTTGCATTAGGACAATAATTGTTGAATGCTTTTTTATTTTTAATTTCCAGATTCTCAACCGACAGTCCAACCTGTTCTCAAGTAGCCTTCAACGGTGTTCGATACTTCAGTGAATACATGCTAATATCACTAAGACACTAACAACACCTCTAGCAAATGAACCAGACTCTGCATGTTGATCTATTGCCATTTACCAATCATTGGTAGTCAGATTCAAGATTTTTCACCACTAACTTCTATTAAATGGTCGTTGGTACGGATGATAAAGATATATGGTGTCGTTTATTTGAAGCACCAGACTTATTCTGCAGGAGGTGCAGGCAGTTTATTTGAAGAAACAACAAGACGTCCCTAAAATGAACCAGTGGCCTAAAGGTGTGCTGGTTCATGCCATTGATTAGACCCCACATGAGCTCAGACTTGCTTCATTCGGCAAATACCAGTCATGAATCCCTTTTAGTTCAAGCTTAATTTTACAGGTCATGCCATATGGTAAGTGACCATAAGACTGCTTCCCCCTTCCCCCGGTTTGATTCTTTTAATATGTCCATTTCTTTCCTTCTTTCCCCTTTTTAAATGGAATTGTACATCCAGTTCTTTGCCCTGTGTATAGCCATGAGGCTCATAGCTAACATACTTATTGTATTCATACCACAATGTTATAGCTGTATCACTGTATTCAAAAGTTTCTAACACGTATCCATTCCTTTTTTTGGGAAGTTTTGCCTTCCTTTTTGTACTTTAACTATTACTATTGAATTCTAATATAATTCTGAAGTCTGCACTGATCATTTTGACATTTACCTCCTTAATTAATGAACAGCATGCAGTTCTCCTGCATATGTTCTTAAAATAAATCCAGGAAATTGAACAGGAAGATTTTTTTTTTCCAATGTCCCTATATATAGCCTAAATGTGGTGAACAACAAAATGCAATCAAACTTCTCTGCAGAATGGGCATGCTCAAATGGAAAAGAAAAGAGCAGCTGTCACCAATAGGCAATAAAAAAATACTGACCAGAAAACATGAAGGGATTTAGTTTCAACTTCTGTTCATTATAATTATCAAAATGAACTGCCAGCACAGAAACACTGGTAACTGCAAGTACACCTTTTACTGCTTTTTGCACATTATCCAAATGCTGCTGCCTGCCAAGTTGAAGCTACAATATGAAAGTAGTAACTCTGTATGTCAGTAGTACATAATGAGTCTATGAAATTACCAGGTAGTAATTTTGATGCCCAGCACTTTCTGGGCAAAGGTAACAAGATTCTCAATCTCGAATTCATCTATGTAGCCATTTCTATCCTTATCAGCCTGATGAAGAGCCACAATACTCTTCCACCAGGCGCTAAACCCAAAACCTTTGCTGCGGATGGCCTCACGGAGCTCCACTCCACTTATGCGACCATCATTGTTGGTGTTGAACTTCATGAACCACTTCTTGAATTCTTCAAGTGTCATAGGAGGAGGGGAACTGATAATTGCTCTGCATCTCATAGCTGGTATTTTTAGAGTTATACTTGGTAGCACCATGGAGTGTTGATTGAGGGTTGCAATGGCTCCTTTTATACTGGTTTAGTCCATGTATTGAGGGTTGCAATGGCTCCTTTTATACTGGTTTAGTCCTTTTATACTGGTGATATTTTATTTATGGTAGATTCTCTTCTAGTCTTAATAGAGCTGAGACCAAACATGTTAATTCTGAAGATAGAATGACAGTTCATTTGCTCAGAGGCTTTGACACACTAGTTTACTATAGTTCAGTTACATGATTTTATTTTGGGAATCAATTCAATTCTCATATATATCAACCAGATACCCATACTATGCATAGTTTTTTTATGAGTATTTTTTTTAAAAAAACAAAGTTATTTATGATCCATCTCTTCATTATCAGTGCTATACAAAGTTATGTGTGTTATTATGACAGTGTATTTACTTCATAGTAGATTTGTTTCCTTTGGTATTGTGCTTGACAAAACAGTTCACGCATTGCAATTATTGGTTTCCAGCCTGTTATAGTTAAGATTAACACACACACATGCTCAAGTATGCAAATTCTTTCCTGACTATCCAGAAAGGTAACTGGGTAAAAAAGTTTATGGTGCAGCAGATTGGTTTTATTTTGTGGCAATTTTTCTTTATCCAGTTTCAGATAGACACATTTGCCTGTCCATAACAATTACTTCATTCTTTTCTGAATAATAATCACAGAGTTCCTGAAAATTGTGCTAATGCAGATCGTCTGAACTTTTCTGAATGACATGTGCTTGATATAATAGTCTCCTAACAGTTTACTCTAATGTAAATATTCAAATATATTGGACTAGGCCAATTTTGTCCTGTTATTATGTGTTTGCTTTTTTTTACTGGGATAACTCATGTCCTGCTGTTTCAGGCAAAGGATATAACCAAGAATGTTCCTTTTGTTCTTCTCTCCTATTGTGATGGATTAACTTTGCAGATATGCCTCTGACCCGATGCTGTGCCTTTTACCTTGATCTGCCTAGTCTGCATCATATTATTGTGTTCCCTTTTGCACTTTGGTGTCATTAGTATTATGCTGTGTGTCGCAGATAAGAATGGTACCACAGAAAGTGTACTGATGCTTGTCTGATAATCACCATTTTGGTAGGGTAGCAGATTCGTCTTGACTGACTTTCCCAAAAATATGGACACATCTTGGTTCATTCTTTACAGCAGACTTCCAGTCCAGCTGTGTTTCTTCTAAAATGGATAGAAATGTTGCAGAATCGCAGGAAACAATTCTTGAATCTGGATGATCTTGGTTCTTTATCCAGATCCTATTTGTCTGTACTAGTTCTGTGCACAACTGTGTTCCTTTCTACAGCAGTGTTTCTTCTGCTGACAGAGAGCTCACCTGGACAAGTAAAATTCAAAAGACCTCTAAAATGTCTGTACAATAAAGAACCAGAATCAAAGTTGATCAAACATAATCAAACTGAAGATCCGAAGCTTGCTTTGACTTGGACAAATACATAAAGAGGCATTCTGCTGATCTGGTATTGTAGTGCCCTATTGGTTGAATGACTTGAATCACGTATTCAAACTTCAATCTGTTTTCATAATTGACAATTTTTGTTACAGAAAATTCTTGCTTTCATGACTAACATCAGAAACAGACATACATATTGCCTCTGAGTTTTGGAAACGAAGGAACTATAGTATAAAAAAATATCCAAAATTATCATACAAAAGTATGCCCTCACGTATCCACACCAAGTGACAGGGTTGTGGAAAATAAACTTATGTACTCAAACACACCATTTACATTTTTGCAGTGTACAATGTACAGTAAGATATGCCTGTACAGGACTAATCTTATAGGTCTACGTCTGTGCCTTTCTAGACAAAATGCTTGACATTTGTGGGAAGAATGTTTTCTTTTTCCTCAACTTCTGGTCCACAACAAAGTCATCCGTGCTACTATTTGACATGGGTGAATTTGGTTCAGTAAGAACTGCATCGTCTTCCTTGTAAGAGCCCTTCTGTTCAGGTGATCTTATAGGTGGAGCAGTCCAAGGATTAGCAACATGTTTTGCGGCTTTCCGACGCTGCTCAAGCTCTGCTCTCCATTTCCTCAGTTCCTGCTCAGCACCAAGCTTTCCTTCCTTTGCCCTGTCAGCCCTCTGCAGTGCGATTTGAAGAGCATCCTTCTTCTTGTGCATCTCTTTGGTTTCTTGTTGCAATCTCTCCAGGGTCCTTGTTTCAGACTCTTTTGCTAGCTCTATTTGCGCCAATGCCGCGGCCACCCTCTCATTCGCAAGCTCTTCGGCTTCGTAGACCCTCTTGCTCAGAGAATGATATTCACTTATAGGAAGTGTAATGGTTCTAGGGGAATCCTCAACACTACTTGTCTCCTCGCTCTCTTGCAATGCTTGAGCCGCCACAAGGGCAAGCTTCTCGGATGCTTTAGAGGCCTCTATTTCTTTCAGAACGGCGCGTAACCTGATCTCTGCAGTCGCGGCAGCGGCCTTGGTTTGCTCGGCTTCTTCTTTCGCCTTTCGAAGTTCTTCCTGTGCAGAATGAGGTGCCACCTTGGCGTCTTCTGCTTCCTGAGCTGCTTGCTGCAGCATCTTTGGAAGCTCTGCCATTTTTTCACGGGTTTCCGCTTCCTTGATGTACACCATTTCTATCTCTTCTTTTGTCCTATTGAGCTCAGCTTCCAGAGAAGAGACGGCTATGGATGCCATACCTTCTCGCTGCTGCAATGTAACAAGTGAAGCTTTCTCTTTATCCACCTCTGACTTAATTGATTCTGCAATAGCTCTTATTAAATTGGTTTCGTCTTTTGCCTTTTCAATATTTCCTCTAACCCCTTCAAGCTCCTTTCTTGTTGAAGCAAGGGCTCGCTTGATTGACCTGCTAATTTCTTTAGCCTCATCAGAACCATCCTCCTCGATCACTCCAGCTTCTTCACTCATTTTGTTTTCTGTATAGGCAGCCAGCTCCTTACTGAGGATTTGTAGCATGTGCGTATTTTCATCAATTTTGGACTTTGCATCAGTTTTTGATACAAGTTGCATGTTGAGTTGCTGCAACTCCTCCTGTGCTTGCTGCAGTTCCTTCTCCCAAGCCAGGCAATCCTGCTCTTTTGCCAAAGCCGCCCCGAGCTTGTGTTCTTCTGCTTCATGATGCGCGGCATGGGCTGACTCGAGAGACTCTTTGATTGCGATAAGTTCTAAAGTGAGTTCCTCAACTCTCTTCTCAGTCTCCTTTGCAGCAGAAATAGCTTGCTCGGCTCTTTTGGCTGCTATGTCCCTTTCGCTAGCTAAAACGGTATGCTTTTCGTGTGTTGATCTCATCTCCTCCTTGACCAACTTCAGTTCATCAACAGCCTTCTGATGTCTCTCTTTAGCAACTGCCAATTGTGTTTGGGCTATTACGCTAGCTTCATCGTCAATCCCCTGCTCCATTTCTTGTGCCCGCAGCTGCGCAAGTTCGGAATCCTGCTTTGCCTGGTCCACATCAATCTCTGCTCTCTCCAGTTTGTGTTTCAGCTCCTCTACAAGTCTCCTAGTTCTCCCTAGCTCCTCAACCACTTGTAACTTGGCCATCTCACAAGCTTCTGAATCTTGTTTGAATTGTGGAATCTCTTGTTGAGCCTTTTCAAGTTCAAGCTGCATGACCCTGCGCCTCTGCATAAAAAGCAAATTCCTTAACAACAGCAGTCTATATGATGAAAATTTTTGACCGTGTTATTGATTGAACAGCAGTGAGCAGAAGTATAATATGTGCTCTATTGTTTCTCATAAAAACAAAGTGTATTTCTGTAATGGCAAGGAAATTAATATGAAACACAACAAAGTTGCATCTTTAACCATGATCTGATCCATTTGCAGTTTTAAACAAATCAGTATTACCTCTAGTGTCTGAGATCTGTATGCTTTCCAATCAACAATTCCTCCGAACTTGGTGACAGCCTCTCTAACTGACTCAAATGGCGCAGCAGTGTCAATGAGACCTCTGTATGGACTTTCAGGTCTCGCATCTGTTTCTGCCTTTTTGTTTGTGGTGGCAGCAATGTTCTCGTGATGATTCATCTTGTCTTCTTTTGTTCTCGATTCATCTGATAGCATAGTGCTCTGGTTGGTCGAACCATTTTCAGATATATTGTTCACTTCGGTCTTACTTGTTGAAGTAGGAAGGTCTGTCTTATCTTTCAAAGAATCATCAGATTCCTGAGCTGGTTTCAATTTAGAGACCGTATCCGGTAATGAAGGTACAGTATGACCTGTAGGAGCCTGCCCATTTTCTGTCAAATTGTGGGTTAACTTCTTCTCCATTTCATGCGATGAATCAGGATTCTCAACTGGAACAGATGCTGTCTCTTCACCATCCCGTGTTCTTGCAGTCCCATGATCATTGGTATTAAGAACTTCCATGGTAGCAGAATAAACCGTTTTTTTCCTCCTGGGCTATTTTGTTCAGCAGGATTAGTCTACTCCACCCCCAAAGCTTAATTTGATCACTGTACTTCCTCCTACAAAAAAAAAAACGAGGAAGGGATCGGCTCAGACAACTTAAAGACTAATCACAGATATAAATAAAATTAAGCAGAACTTTCGCCTATAGAATTACATTTGACAGGCCTATCCGTGATGAGGACTTAGCCCTTTTTTTCAGTATAATATGAAGAAACTAAGGAATTAGCCTTTTTTTTTCCCAGTATAATATGAAGAGACTAAAGCTTGCATTAGTCAATAGGGATGTAGGCATAACAGCAAGCTCAAGGGAACTATGACCTGTGCATGTATTCATTAATCATTGCCACTGATTGAAGTCATGAACCCACTTTTTATGGCTGCAGCTATTGAGCAGCCGCCCTACCAAGTACTACTTCCATAATATAAATCATATTTGCCCAAAAATTAAACAAAATTAACAAAATTGCTAACTTTCCTTCCTTCGTATTTTAAGAAAAGAAAAACATCATGATTAAGTAAGGCTGAGCCAGCTAGCTCAAGTTATTGTACAGACATCTTCTTAATTTGCCCACCAAGAACTGAAGAAACTATCGAGCATTGCATGTCCTGAAGTTTCTTTAAGTTTTCGGCATAACTTTAGTACTGGAATTTTCATAAGGGCATTGCAAAGCAAGCAAACAGCTTAGCAGAAGTACCTCCAATCAATTCCTAATCGATAAATGACACAAAGACTGAATGCACCAGATGTACTAGTAACTGCTAAAGCACAGGATTTCTCAATTGATATTATCTTCATCATCTACAGATGATTAATCACATGACTATCAGATTACTACTGTACCGTCTACAGATGATTAATCGCGTGGATATCAGATTGAACAATCCGGTTTCTGAATAACACACAGATTTTTTTAAAAAAAAAAAGAAAAAACAAGTTACTTGTCTCATCTCAGACCACAGGATGAATGAACAGTCGAATACCAGGTCAGTCTTCTCCGCGGACGACGACTCGGTGATCAGGAAAGTGACACCAATTAGACCCAAAACCCTCCCAATTCCCCCCCAAGAACACAACGCTCCCTACCCCATCCCAGGCAAAGAAATCAAGAAACCGCTCATCTCATCTATCCAAGTCCAACACAACACAGCAAGACCAGCTCTGCTTGACCTTCTTGGATAAAAACAGACCAAAATCAAGCATCGATTGCAGAGAGAGAGAGAGGGATTCTTACCAGGGCGGAGAGCCGGAGAGGATTCCTTGCAGGCGAAGCAAGATTGCAAGAACTACTCTCTCTTTTTTATTTTCCGCCGATTAGGAGATTCTTTTCCGGCTTTTGCCGCTTTTCTTCTTCTCCTCTTTGTCTGCCTGTGCGCGTCGTGTTTCTAGAAGAGGAAGATGGAGGAGTGGGTGTGTGTGTCCGTGTCCTTGTTGCTTTGCTTGGGCTCGGCTCGCGTCACCGCGCGCCGCCCTCAGCTCCGGATTAGCGGTAAACCGTGGAGGATTAGGTTATGTTTGTTATTATTATGGGGGGTTTTGCGTAAACGCCCCTTGGTTTAATGAAAATGTATGTACAAGGTGCTTGGTCTTTTATTTTGCTGGAAAAGAAAAAGGAAAGGGTAAATTCCACTAAACAATCCCCCAACTCGACAGTTTAACACGAAACGTAACCAATCTGTGTAACAACCCCCTCACAATCTTAATGAAATTCTGATCGGCCAATTTTTGTTAGCAAAAAAATAAAAAAACTACTTTAGCATGTCGCATCGGATATACCGATATATGGAAACATAGTTTAATAATAAAACAAATTATAGATTCCGCATGTAAACTGCGAGATGAATTTATTAAGTATAATTAATCTGTCAAATCATGGAGCAATTACACTTAAAAGATTTGTCTCGCAATTTACACGCAATATGTGTAATTAGTTATTTTTTTATTTATATTTAATACTCCATGCATGTGTTAAGTATTCGATGTGACAGGGTTAAAAATTTTGCCAGGGATTTAAACAGGGCCTTAGCTAGGGTGAGTAGTTGTAGTTGAGCTGTACGAGCTGCTGGATTATGCCCTATAGTCTTGTTCTTTTAAAATTGTTTACCGATTATTTACTCCACACTCCAAAAATAACCTTCTACTACTACTACTACTTATAATATTTAATGTATCGTTATATTCAAGCAGGTAATCTACACTAATAATTCTCTCAATATTTTATCATTATACAGTATGCATAATTGTAAGCAAGTATAAAAGGAATAGAGTGCAAAAACGCCACAAAGAGACGCTGTTCGGTTATTATACAGAAACCATCTGTCCTGGCCGATGGTAATATAGCGAGGTAAATATATAGCGCAAGCCCTCACCTATCTAGATGAAAACTCGTGTAAACCTTGATAAAAAAAAGGGGATAATTTAAATTTACCAAACAAAGTCCCAGTTCGAAATTTATTATTTTTTGTTTGAATAGGAAATTCTATGTGGTGGTGTAACATCCCCTTATATATCTAACATGTGTGATTTGGTTAACGAATTTACATGACTTTTTGATCGGGGGTTTACACAAATTTTTACATAGGTTAGGGTTCGTACCGCATGTTTACCCTCCTATAGCGGATGCAGAGCGGGTGGAAAAATTCCACGAGAGGACGGCGTTTACTGTGCAGGACAAGAGGTTGGAATGTGGACTGTGACAAGCTAGTCCCGCTGACTTTTTAGGGAGACACCGTCGCTGCCTGTGATGCCTGCGTAAGTGAGCCCCGCTGCAGTTGGCGACCACTTTCTTTTTCTTTCTTCTTTTCTTTTTCCACTTTTACGTGCCAGCAGGCAGCAGCGGAATATGCTTTTATCATACGGAGGAAAAACATCCCGTAGAATTTTTCATTTTGTTAGAGCGCGCATTAGAGAGTAATCGCGCGCTCGGTTTTTAATAATTGTTATTAAAATTATTTAAACTTAAACTTCACCGCTGGTCAGCCTTTGCCTAAAAGTTATATTTAAAAGTAAGTTATATTGTCAAGGTAGATAAGGTAGATAAGGGAGTTGAAAAACAAACTCGATGGACCATTGGTATCATTAATATTAATATTAATACTAACGGCAGTATGGTTTGTTAGTACTGCCACCGGTACATAATCCATTTTTCCATGTTGTTACTATCCATTTTTCCGTACATAAGTAGCGCCCGTCTGCATCCAGGGTCTGCGAAAATCAATATTTTTTTGCATGCAGGCGGTCCAACCGTATGGGATAATTGATTATCCTGTGCGGTTGTGTTAAGTCGACTATCCTGTGCGGTCAAATTATACCACCCGCACGAAAAAATACCGAAAAAAAATAAAATCAAAAAAATCCCGTCGTCGTCGTGGTCGCGCAGCCGCCGCTCATGGTCGCCATCGTCCTCGTCGTCGCCGTCATTGCACCGCTACCGCTCCCGTCGTCGTGCAGCCGCCGCTCCCCACCGCCGCTCATGGCCACCGTCGTTGCGCTGCCGCTGCTCCTGTCGTTGTCACCGTTGCCGCACTGCCGCTGCTCGTGGTCGCCGTCGTCGCGCCACCGCCGCTCTCGGCCTCCACCACGACCGTCCGCCGTCACCGCTGCGCCGCCTCCACCAGTAGCCGTCGCCGCTTCCCGCGCCGCCGGCGGCGGCGGTGGCGACGCCCCGTGCGCTCAGTGGGGAGGGGAGGAGAAGAAAGAGGCAGAGAGAGAGAGAGGGGAGGGGGAGAGGAGAGGAAAGGGAGAGAGAGGAGTGAGTGAGGGAGAATAAAAGGTAAAAGGAAGATAGAGGATGTGAAAAATTTTGAAGTGGGTGAGAGGGAAAAGGAAGAGTGATGATGTGAAAATTCTGAAGTGGGTAAGAGGGAAAAGAGGGAGAGGTATTTTCCCGTGCGGTCCACTTAAGAGGCCCGCACGCGAAAATCAATTTTTCCGTGCGGTCCTCTTAAGTCGACCGCACAAGATAACGAGGATTATCCCGTACGGTCGGATTAAGACGCCTGCACGGGATAATGCATTTTCCTATGCGGGCGATAGCCTGGCACCGGTCGCCCGGTTTTTCCAGACAACGCTACTTACGGCCCGTCTGAAATCTACCGGGGCCGGTGTCCAGAAAAATCATTTCTCTACTAGTGTGCTCTAGGCTCATTGCTGATTTGCTTTCTCGTTGTGGTTTGGATTTAGGTGTGTCTTGTCTTACCTTTTCAAAAAGTTGCATACCTGCCTTGTCTATATAAGACTTCGGATTGATGAAACAATATTGATAAGTTGGTTTAGTTTGATGTGCATGGATTGGATATGATGTACTTTTCTCCATAGACCTTAGATAACTTCAATATTCTTTCAATTAATTTGACTTTGTATATATTACTACTATCTTTATTATTACTATAGTTTCATGATTGGCATGACTCCAAGAAAATCGTCTAACAAAGTTATACAACCTTAAAGGGAACTTAAATGATATTTAGCTTACTACAACGCGCGGGGGATGCGTGTGGGCTTGAGGCTTGACTTCCATAGCTAAAATGGCAAATCTTGGGATTCAATATGTGTAGGGTAGTGGTGAAGCCAGGAAATTTACCGTGGATATCCACACAAGATTGATGAAGCAATATAACTAGAATTAAATCAAGCTAGTCTATATGAATCTTAAATAAAAGTAGCAGAATGTCCGTGCTTTGTTATGGGATTAAAAAAAATCAAATGATGTGTATATTGCTTATCATTGTATTTTTTAAATTGAATATAGAGTATATCAGTATTAATTGGATGTGCATGCTGCAAAAAATAATCACCGTGACTTCATTGTGGGTTGTGACCATTGTTTATTTTAATCATTCCCATCCACTCCAAAGACCCAAGTTCATCTTGCTACAGTGGAAAAAAGAAAAGCTCAGTCTATCTACCTACAATTAAAAAGCAGTTACTCCTTCCGTCGCATAATATAAGAGATTTTAAGTGGATGTGACACATCCTAGGACAATGAATCTGGGCTGACAGTTTGCCCAGATTTATTGTACTAGGATATGTCATATCCTCTCCAAATCCCTTATATTATGGGACGGAGAGAGTGTCTGACAGCTAGCCAAGTGTGCTCTCTATCTCTCAGCTAGCTAGCCCAAGTCTGCTCTCTATCTCTCAAGCTCTCACAGCAGGAGGAAAGTTTGATTTTTTTTTCACTGACAAATAGGGGTCCATGCGTTAGTGATAGGAGTGGTGGACCACTACCAACATTTATTTAAAGTAGGATAGACAAATAGAGATTCACGTGTCAGTGATAGGAGTGGTGGTGACAGATTCACTGCCACCATTACTACCACCATTTAAAATAGTGTAGATGTGGACTGGTATCATAGTTATACGTTATTCTCATGAAAATCTATATATAGTACACTAAAGTAGGATTTCAAAATTTGTTATTAATCGATTAATTGATATTTTTAAGATAGAAATTTGCGACCAAGTGTCAAACAATGTGTAATATTAGTTCCTTCTCAAGTTTAACCATAAACCATATTCTTGAAACAATGCCTTTTAATTTGTTGGGTGATTTCTATAAAATCAACCTATAAAATCAAAATTAAGCTAGATGGGAGGTGCGTGGTTTTACCACTACCACAATTAGGCTTCGTTCGAACCAACTGTTCTGCTGGGATTTTTTGACGGCATACAAAACGAGATAGGACATTAGTATATGGTTAATCGAGTATCAATTACTAAAAATTTTAAGAATGGATTTATTATTTTTAAGAAACTTATTTATAAATTTTTTTTTTACATGGGACACACCGTTTAGCTGTTAAAAAAGTGTGATCGTGGAGAACGATGAAATAGTTGTTTCGAATATAGTTGCCTAGAACTTAGTCTTAGAAGCAAGGGTGGCCAAGGGAAAAATACGGATCATGACCTTAGGGCAAGGGCAATATATAATGTGGATACACATTTTAAGATGGGACCCATAAATAATTAGCCATTGTTATGGTATGATGCATAATGTATATGGGGTGTGTTTGGAAGGTCGGTTTGCGTGCAGCCGCACATTACATTGATACTTACAGACCCATGGTCTTTAACATGGGCCCCACGATAAAATAAAGGTATAAGATAGCTGCCAACTTCTTTGAGATAGTGGGGGAGAGAGAGAGTAAGTAGTGGAAAAAAATATTGGTTTATTCACTGTGGCTAATTGTAATCTTGAGGTGCACCAAATTTTTTTTTCTATTGCTAACTTGCACAATATATAAGGTACACCTCAACAATATATTTATCCATTAAGGTTACTTTTAGCACACTATGGTTGCCCTTATACCATCGAATATCACCTTCTGCAAAAATGTGACAAAGCAAATTAAATCATATCGAATTGACAGCATGCTTCCACGGGCGTGTGCGGCTGCCAAGAGCACAAAAGAGCTCTTGCACCCTTCTTACTT